GAGACGGAGACCAGTACGGAAAAGATACGTCCTGTAAAATTAAGTAGTACTTTGTTGTATTTTAATTTTGTGTTTGTAAATTCTGTACATTTAATTAAGTCATTGTTAATTATCTATTGGTTTAATGTAAGTGGCTATTGTTCAGGACGAACAATACTAAGGAAGGGGCAGTGTTATGACAGTGGAAGTCTCGCGACGCTGGGAGCATGCGAGCTGGAGTTTCTCGAAGGATCATGAATTTTCGACAAATGTCCGAGTGTTTGCTAGACGCCCTCTTTTTTAGTATATAAGCCTTGCGAGAAAAACCAAGGGGATCAGAAGAGATCGGCAGATAGATTGCAGAGATAGATGGAAGAGAATGATAATTGAGTCAAGCGAAAAGTAGGCACCCTAAGTAAAGTGTGTGAATCACTGTGATTTATAACGTGTGTCATAAAGGTTGTTAAGTTTAAATTGACTGTGGAAATTCTGTGTATTACTAAAAGTTGTATAGAAAAAGAATAAACTGGTTTAGTCAAGAAAGGACTGGTATCGCTGAAGTTCCTTGGAAAAAATTCTACTAGAAATTAACAAACAAGTAGATAAGCAACAGTATTTACGATACATGTGACTACAGAGGGTTTGGTACATCATATTAAAAATAATTTTGGAGCCTCAGAACCTTGTTATGGTTTGTGTTGCTACATCCTATCATGCTCTACTTGACAATGCTGCATCTTGACAATAGCCTTGCAACATACTTTCTATTGCAAAAGGCTCTGTCTTAAGACTGTCATATTCAAAATACCCTGCAGGCTTCTCATAATCCATTTAGTGTATGAGGATGGTGGCTTCCTAGGACACAGTTGAACAGTTCAATCACACGGAAATCCACAGGCACTGTGTCCAGTAATTTGATTGGTGTGTTGTGTGTGTGTGTGTGTGTATGACTGAAAGCCTTATCTGGTGAACCCATACTCTGTTGACCATGTTCCCAAAGAGAGATCCTTCTTGATCATGTTGGGTACTGTTGCCTGGATCATGTAGATGACTTTTGCCACTGACCTACGTATTCATTGGATTCTCATCTGTTACAAGACATTACACTTTGCTTGACACAGCTGGAGTGTGACTTGTTGAAAGTCTCTTTCTGGAAAGACCTGGCTTCCCAAGTAAATTTGTATATATATATATTCTTTTTTCCAATGTCATTACGTCCAAGAAATATCCTTCATTTGTAAGTTTTAAAGCCTTGATCTAAACACATAGTTATGATATGAGTGAATAGATATTTTGTATTGCAAAGGGCTGTTACATGCCCTTCCCCCAAAGTAATCAATTTTCAATGGCATAATACTACCTCTGAAATGCCAAAAGTGTGAAAATGTAGTTCTTATACACTTCATTTCACTGCAAATTCATATTGGCTTTGGTTGTCATGTGTTATGCTGATTTGCATATTCAAAATCATTTTAATATAATGTACTCAACACTGTAATTTAAACCATGTTTTTGTACATTATGAAATAATACATAATATTGGACACTGCCATATTATCAAACCCAATTTCTAAGGTCAGACTATGGAGAAAACTAGTTAGAGAGGTTATTGCTTTTCAGTAAGGCATAAGTGACTCAACATCTAGCAATTTATTTTCTCATATAACAATTGTATATATAACACATATTTGAATATTTATCAAACTGGACTATAAAATGCCTGTTCAGTTTTAAACACAAAATTATTATAAATATTAGATTTTGTACAGAACATTAACATGGTTTAGTTATAAATAAATAAATAAATAAATATATATATATATATTGAGATGGCATATATTGATACAGTTTGGACTTTTACTTAATTCTTTTGGTATTTTAAGGTTGACCCTAAATTAGGTGTGAATTCTACTCTGATTTTTTCACACTTTCTAAGAATAAAAGTTTATTGTAAAGTATTGTAATTTTACAAATGATAAAATATAATTGAAATTAAAAAGTCAATTGCATAATTAAATTGAATGGAATTTTTTAAAACCTCTTGCAGGCTGGTATGGGGACTATAACCTGCATAGCTTGGAAGAGTGACCACATTGTTCTGGGTGATGTTGATGGAAACTTAAATCTGTGGGATTTAAAGAATAAGGTTTCCAGGTAATTTAAATCTTTGTTAATGTATAGGTAATTATGAGATTGATATTTTGGTTTGGTTTGTATATTCAGTGGTTTACTAGTGTTACTGAGGTTTAGGCTAATTTATTTCCATATTATTTTAGAGTTTGTGTATTATTGGCTTTTATTTGTTTTTTCATAACAGATTATAACAGTGGAGCTTAAACTATTGTGTTTTTTTTATTAGATGATAAAGATCAAATTTAAACTATCACATTGTGTACTAAATTATGAAGACCCGGTATAAAATGTGATGATATTTGTATTTTATGCTATAAAGATAATCTAAAATTAGAGTATATTATTTTTTAGGTTATAAAACGTTTGTAAGTACAAGCTCTGGCAATTTTTATAGAGGAATCCCCACACATCGAGGGTGGATAAAGAAGATTAGATTTGGCCCTGGTAGAGGTAACCTAAAAGTATTGGTGCTATTTAATGATGGGGTGGATCTCTGGGATATCAAAGAGGTAACTAAGGATTTGTTTTTATTCAGTAGTTATTTATTAATCTATAAAGTTACCTTTCTTCTCTTTAGTACTAAAATAAGTAAATAATATTTTGTAAACGTTAAAAACTTCTGTCCATATAGTCTTCCAAATCTCAGTAACAGTGTATAGTTGTTAATATTTTTATGCACACAATAAATTAAAAAAATTTTTAGTTCATTTAATAAATAACTTAGACCATATTATTCAAATAATATATGGGTATTTTAAGCTAAGAGAGTGGAAATACAACAGTAACAGTCTTGTGTTAAAAGTTTTTCCCAAGCAAATCAATAAGATAGATCAAGATATCATTGTTATACACATTTGTGCCAGCTCTATTGGATCATATACCTTATACTTAAGAAAAAAGGCATAAAAATTTTTTAAATCCCTTTAAGTGCTGGTAATGTAGAGACTTGTTGACAAATCAAGTTCATATTTTAACTAATATTTGAGATGCAGAATCTATGTTGAACTGTATGAAATATCTATAAGTCCATTTATATGAAACATCTATACATTCAGTTATATAAAATTCAGAGATTAAAAGGTCTTATTAGGAATATTAATGAGATTTTGTGAAGTAAACTATTTCTTCAACAAATATTATCTAGTTAGTAAGAATATAATAACCTCAAAATTTAAGTAAATAGCTTAAAATTCAAGAGCAAATGTGAATAATTGTACATTGTTTCAACTTAGAAAATGTTTGGAGGTGAGTGTTTAGGAAGACAGAAAGCATTGGACTTATTAATATTTTAACAACAAAGTAAATATTGACATGTGATCTCTAAGGAACCCAGAAAAATTGTTTTAAATGTACACTAAGAGCAGATGTATAAAGCTAAGGATATCTTTGTTTTTTTTTCTTGTAATACTCCATATTTAATATTGAAAAAAATATCAGTATTATCAGAATTTTTAAGTAATATAATTTTAACTTTGGAGGGAAGGGCATACATGTAGTTAATCTAGTAGATAACTTGTTTGAACATAAAACACTGTGTTTGAAATTTGGTAGTATGTAGTATGGTAATGTTTTTGTTTTTCATATTTTGTAAACTTTTAATATTTCTTAAGTATGTAAAGTTATTTTATCTTAAAGTCCCTTTAGATGCTGTTACTCTCTGATTAAGATTAAATATTAAAATCATGAAATTTCGTTTATTGTTATCCAATACTTTTAACAAATATTTCCTATATCGTTTGATGGAAGGTCTTAAAACTGATTTAACTCTTTTAGCATGGGTGACCGACCTCGTAACCATTTTGTGCTTGTTATAGTTTTCATGCTAAAACTTTTAAATTAGTAAGCGAATGTTAATGAAATTTGGCAGATTAAAAGTAAACATTACAATGCTTACATGTGCAAAATATCTTTCTTTTTTTATTGAGTCTTAAGGTTTGGAAAGTAATGTTTTTCTCATGCCTTTTTTTTCTTTTTGCCTGTTGTCTATATAACATGCAAATTAATTTTCATTTTAAGATTAAAAATACTTTTATGCATCAGAAAATTTTCAAATTTCACGTGCAAAATCTTTATAATGTACAGATAGTTATCAACTATTTCTTAAGAAAAACTTCATATTTTATATGTTATTTTCAGTAATGAATCTCTGTACAGGTTCAGTAGATTTGACCGATCTCCTAACCACCATAAAAAATTAGGAAATAAATATAAATTATGCCTCTTTCATTCTAGAATGAACACAAATTATAAGATGAAAACATAAATGTTTAGACAAAATAACTTAAATCTCATAA